TAATGGACTTTTCCTCTCTCTACTACAACAGTCTTAACAACAATTGCTCTTCTGGATTTTGTCTTAATAAGAATTTGTGTGTCATTTTTTATAAGAATAGCATTTTATTGTTTCCAGTCTGCTTTCTTCCAAAATATAAAGCCAAAAGATTAATAGAACCTTTGGGATTAATAGCTTTTAAGAATTCCTCACACAACCAAAAAGACATTGATTTTCTGTGTTCTCGTGTACCTTCCAGAGCATACAAGAAGTAGCTGGTTATGTGCTTATAGCAATGAATACAGTGAAAATTATTCCATTGGAGAATCTCCAGATAATCCGAGGAAACACCCTTTTGGAAAATGCTGCTCTGATAATTTTACTAAATTACAATGAAACGAGGGGACTTGAAGAGCTGCCAATGAGACATTTAGCAGGTGAGATCTTTGGGAAGGACAGGTGCAGTGATGATGACGATGATTATGATGATACAAACATATTGTTAGTTACAAATCTGGGAGTCTTCAGCAGATCATTTGCCTATAATGTGTCATTATGAAAACCTAGAGCTAACCAAATGCTTCATACTCAGATTTCCTTTTTTTTTTCTTTTGCTAAATTGTGGCAGTAGTGTGCTTGTTAAACCACATGACCTTCTTAGTACAGTAGTATTTATTTTTCAACATGTAAGTTGTTTTTCAGAATAGTCAAACTGTTTCACAGCCTAGTAAACTGTTCCAGAGAGAACCTCCAGCCCCCAGGTTGAATGCAGTCCAAAAGATGGTTGTTGTGGGGTTTTCAGGTTTTTGGCAGTGTTCTGAAGGTTGTTCTTCCTGACGTTTCGCCAGTCTCTGTGGCTGGCATCTTCAGAGGACTGGAGTAGGAACTCTGTCCATGCTCTGTTGCTGTTTGTTGGATAGCTGAATATTTGCACCCATCAATCACAGTGACAGATAATCTCTCCCCCCCTTATCACAAGAAGAAACATGCTGATCACCCTATCTCCCGAAAAAAGACAAAAGCTGTTCCCACAGCTATAAATACTCAACTATCCAACAAACAGCAACAGAGCATGGCCAGAGTTCCTACTCCAGTCCTCTGAAGATGCCGGCCACAGAGACTGGTGAAACGTCAGGAAGAACAACCTTCAGAACACTGCCAAAAACCTGAAAACCCCACAACAACCATCTTTTGGACTGCATTCAACCTGGGGGCTGGAGGTTCTCTCTGGAACAGTTTACTAGGCTGTGAAACAGTTTGACTATTCTGAAAAACAACTTCGATGTTGAAAAATAAATACTACTGTACTAAGAAGGTCATGTGGTTTAACAAGCACACTACTGCCACAATTTAGCAAAAGAAAAAAAAAAGGAAATCTGAGTATGAAGCATTTGGTTAGCTCTAGGTTTTCATAATGACACATTATAGGCAAATGATCTGCTGAAGACTCCCAGATTTGTAACTAACAATATGTTTGTATCATCATAATCATCGTCATCATCACTGCACCTGTCCTTCCCAAAGATCTCACCTGCTAAATGTCTCATTGGCAGCTCTTCAAGTCCCCTCGTTTCATTGTAATTTAGTAAAATTATCAGAGCAGCATTTTCCAAAAGGGTGTTTCCTCGGATTATCTGGAGATTCTCCAATGGAATAATTTTCACTGTATTCATTGCTATAAGCACATAACCATCTACTTCTTGTATGCTCTGGAAGGTACACGAGAACACAGAAAATCAATGTCTTTTTGGTTGTGTGAGGAATTCTTAAAAGCTATTAATCCCAAAGGTTCTATTAATCTTTTGGCTTTATATTTTGGAAGAAAGCAGACTGGAAACAATAAAATGCTATTCTTATTTCAAAATGACACACAAATTCTTATTAAGACAAAATCCAGAAAACTAGTTGTTGTTAAGGCTTTTGTAGTAGAGAGAGGAAAAGTCCATTACGGCTTCTCTGAAGTAGAATGTCCTTACAACACTGTTTCATCTATGGTCGGCATATTCTCTGGCTACAATATTTAGGGATGGCATTTTTCAGAAACACAAATTGCTAACCAGTTTATTGAGCCTACACGTGAGAACTTGGACATTACTATATACAGTCATGCCCTGCTTAAAGATTACCCCACATTACGACGAATCCGCTTCCCAACGATGTTTTTGCGATCACAATTGTCGGGTTGTCAAAATCGTGCCGGGTGCTCAAAATGGCTCCCCGCTGTGCTTAGGGACGGATTCCTCGCTATACAGGCGCCGAAAATGGCCGCCATATGGAAGATCTTCGCTGGACTGTGAGTTTTTAGCCTATTAGTAGACGCTAATGCCTCAGAGAGGTCAGGATTTAAGACCCATTTATTTTATAGAATATGAAAGGTAAAATGCTTTCTGGTCATCATTGTGCCAAAGAGGTAGGTGTTACCCATGACAGAGAGAATAGACAGGGCAATTATGATTTAGGTAAAATAATCCAGTGTAAATTCACACATGAACCCTTAGATGTGATCAGTGAAATTAGGTAAAACTGACACAACAGTGACCAGAAAATTACTTCTGGTTTTTCAAAAAGCTGAAATGCATCCTGTCCTGTCAAATAGCTTTTAAATAGAGCTCCGAAGGTTTCAGGATAGCAACTGGCCATTATTTGTCCAATGCAAGTTAGGTTTGGGGCTCTTTTTTCTTATATGGGTGCGTGTGGTCCACTAAGCTCTGAAAAGGCCCCTGTAAACCACCAGACATGCCCTGTCCTTCGGATTAGCTCAAAACAAATACAACAGAGACAAACAGACCAGTTAAAAGTAGGTTTTATAAGTGTGGAATTCACTTCCTATGAAACAAATGAAGAAATAGTCATGAGAATTCTACAGTATTGGCTTTTGTGCAAGGTTTGCAATCTGAATGCACACCAGCATCTCATGAATTGTTATTTAGCCATGGTGCATTACACAGACCTTACTGTACGTGAACACGAGTATGATTCTGACACTGTAAATACTATTATATTTTAATGTGAGCTTTCATGGACACAATAGTCTTTAAGGTGCCACATATTTTTCTCTTTTTTGTTTTGTTTTTCTTTCTTTGGATTTTGCCTGATATGACTGCACAGACTGACATAGCTACCTCTTTTAAAACTGCAAGTAAGATTTTAGTTGCTGTTTGACACAAAAGGTTTCAGGTTCAATGTATACATGGGATTAGGCTTTTTGTTTTCTTATCAACACACCCAAAAACACAGCTTTCAGTTTTCAGGTGCTGTATGAGCACAGAATACAGTTTTCTGCTTATATTTTATAATCTATCTTGTATTTAATAGTCTTTTCTGTCAATTTTGTGTTTATTGGCTCATTGTTTGCCACAGGGTGCATTGGCACGAATTGTGAGGATATGAATTTGATTAAGATGGTGATGAGCCAGTAAAGGATTTCTTGTTTTTCACTGGTAAAACAAGCTTTGGTCTCCTGAGATTAAATTATCTGTCTAAATTTTGCTCTGAAAATACCTTAATTCATTTTGAGAACTTGAACATTTTGATAATCTAAAAAAATCTAGATTTGATTGATTATTAAATGGCTATACAGTGGTACCTCAACTTACGAACTTAATCCATATTGACATGGTGCTCGTACGTCAAATTGTTCGTAAGTCAAAGCACCATTTCCCATTGAAATGCATGGGAACGGGACTAATCCGTTCCAGCATTTAAAAAAATACCAAAAAAACAAACAAAACAACAACAACAACAACAAAAACACTGGAGCAAGTCCCACGCTGGGACTGCAAAAATAAATAAACCCCAAAACAAAACAACACACCACAGAAACATAAACCCCCCAATCCAAACCCACCCTCCAAAACCCACCCAGAACAGTTTTTTAAAAGGAAAAAGGCGCACCTTACCAGTCTGAAGTGTCTTGAGCCTCCCGGGCTTCCCCTGTTGCTGTGACCGCCACTGGCGGGAGGCTTGAGCCTGGCGAGGGTGCTTTGGACGCTCGCCTCCCAGCTCGCCTTCCACTTGCTCTGCACCAACCTCCATGGGCCGATGGTAGGAAATTCAAATGGCGGATGGCAGGGAGGAGCAATCAGGAGGTCATCCGGGAGGCGACCAGCCAAAGAAAACCAGCCAGCTCAAGCGTCCCAGCGCTGGCAATCGCTGTCTCCATCGTGGCCGGGAGTGAGCAGCCAAAGAAATCCAGCCAGCTCAAGCTTCCCGGTGCTGGGCGACCACTGCCTCTGCTGCCCCCACCACTGCCACCAGAGCATCCAGGAGACTCAAGCCTCCTGCCTCTGGGTCACCCTCACTGCCCGCCGCCCCTGCCAGAGCATCCAGGAGGCTGAAGCCTCCTGGCTCTGGGCTACCCCAACCATATCCCTTTCCCTAACCTTTGGGGAGAAAGAGCTACAAAGAAGCAGCCTCTTCACCACCAACAGTTAGTAAATTTAAATTTCCCACCCTTTTCTCCTGTCTTTTATGGTTCGTACGTCAAAGCTCAGTACGCAAGTTGATGCAAAATTTTGCGAGTGAAGTTGTTTGTAAGTTGAAATGTTCATAGGTAGGGATGTTCATAAGTTGAGGTACCACTGTATTGTAGAACAGGTATGTCCTTCAGATATCTAGCTCTTCAGATATCTAGATGTTTCATTTTTATGCAACTTTTATGCCATCATTGCAACAAAACTTAGTTCTACACTGAAAGTCATAGTAAGGCAATTATTCATTTTTTTCACACATAGACATTAGTATTCTTCAATGCACAAAACTCTTTAATAATTAACTGTAAAGTGCTAATTTATGAGTTGCAAGCTTTCAAAATTATTAATTTCTGCTATGGGAATCAGCACTATTGATGACTGCTTTATCTTGGTGGGCTGCTCTTTTTAACTGGTAGTGTTGTGTATATGTATACACACACTACAGTGGTGCCTCACTTAACGACATTAATTCGTTCCAGCGAAATCGCTGTAGAGCGAAAATATCGTAAAGTGAAAATAAAAAACCCATTGAAACGCATTAAAACCCGGTTAATGCGTTCCAATGGGTGAAATACCTGCTCATCCAGCGAAGATCTTCCATACAGCAGATATTTTCTGGTGCCTCTAATGCAAGGAATCCATCCCTAACGCAGCGGGGAGCCATTTTCTACAGAAACTTCAATGTTAAGCGGATTCGTCATCAAGCGGGGTAATCGTCCATCGGGGCACCACTGTACTCAGCAGAATTCACTACATAAGATGCAAAGTCCTTTGCAATGATAAAGTAACTAACTCGTGCCCCAAATTCTGTGTTGTTTCATAAAAGCATTTCAAGATATTTTTCACAAAAACTCTTTATTGCTGCAACCCATGGCTTGACTACATAGCTTGACTGAAACAGCCTTATATTCTGCTTAGAACAGACAGCAAATTCACAACTATACATGAGTCATTATTTCCAGACCTGGAATTGTTTGATGTGTATTAGTCTCCACAAGTTAAAACCTATTTTTGATAAGTTTTTTTAAAGCCATGTTAGTGTGGAGGTTCCTAGGAAAGCCCTCCAAGTGTCTTTGCTGTACTATCCAGGAGTCCCAGCTGCTATGATAAGAGACGGGTACAGACAATTGCCATTTGCAAAAGGAGAATGGGATAAGGAGGTAATTAAGAAATGTAGCATGAAGTGTTCCTTAGCAAAGTGGTTCACCAACAGAAGTAACTGGGAACCAGGGCATTCATTCCTACTTTAAAATACTGCCACAAGCAATCTTCTTCCTCATTGACCCCTGAATCATAGCAATATGAATAATCATACTAACCTTCAAAAAAGTGAGATTATAGTTGTCATTCATATAAGTGATCTCAAGATTGCCAAGCACCACCTCACAGCCCTCATACATTCTCTTCAGGCTGTTGTAGTGGTCTTCCAAACTTGCAAGCTGTGTCAGCTTGTTGTTGGTTCCTTGGCACACTGAAAAAGAAGGGGATAAAAAGAGTAATGTACAACACATTTTGAACAAAACAGCAAAAGTAGTATGTGTGGTTTAAACTAGAGGTCTAAACAGGTAACTGAAAACCTGACTAAATGCCAGCACAGAGCCTCTTAGTAAAAGGAACCTTACTGACAGAAACACTGCCAATGTTTAATTCCACTGAGAATAGGAATTACTGTAGAGATGAAAATCACAGCTTGTGATGAATAATGTAGATTTGGGACCATTCATATCATCCTGAAAAGGCTCTTCACCCAAATGCATTGGGGAAGCAAATACGTGAGAGTAGTAACAGTTGTAAATCAACCCCTTTCGTCAATTGTATAAAATTGTTCAATTATTTAAAAGACACCCTATATTTTTAGGCTTTATAAAATAACATCTTTAGTGATATACTAATTGCTACACAATAACAAAAACAACCAGCAGCAAACCAAAATTAAAACCTTTTGGGATAAATCCAATCTTTGTCCCAACTAGTGGAGATCCATTAAAATCATTGCCCGAAATGATGTTACAACACAACTTTTAAAGCTGGTTTGCCGCAGATTAAGAAATCTCCATAGAACATGGAGTAATACTTATAATTCAGTATGCAACAGATAACATTTACAGAGTTTTCTTAATTTATGACAATTTACTTCTTAAATTTACACTATTTATGCAACTGGATTTCAGCCAAATGAGCCTATGAAAGTGTTGAATAACAAGTCTTTTTCATTTTAATGGATTAGGTAAGACTGGGAATAAAATTAGATCGATCTCATTATGTCTCAAGACAGAGACGTGATGTCAATAGAAGTTGTATCAGTATCCATGTCTACATGAATAAAAAAGGAAAAAGCTATGTGGTTCTTGTACATGATTCGAAGACGTAGGTAGGTGATGCCTTTATTAGACAAATGAAATCTCTCATGCAGAGGCTAAATTTCAACTTCTTGGTCAGGATGGGTATTACAGTAATAGAGATTTACATTTTTTTCTCACCACCCTCAGTGTTATAATGATGAGCCTGACAATAACCTTTGCAGAATCTATGGCTAGCCTGCGTGAGATTTTACTGTACGTTTGGAATATATAAGGGAAAGAAACTAACCCACTATAATCCATTATAAAATCTAGGAAAGCAAATGTTCTAACACTTTATAAATGATAGATATTTTTTTCTACCTGTTGCATCTCACAAACAGAGCTCCACCACTAAGAATTCCATCTCTCCCCATTTACTACATGCCTACACCTCACCTAGTAGAAGCATCCAGAGAAGGTGAATACATTGATGCATACATTGTATTTGGGGCAGTTTTAAACAGTACAAGTTTTAAAAAATTATCATAAACTGTTTCGGTCTTCAAAGATAAAAAGCAACAGCTTCAACTAAACACAGAAATGCACTACAAGCCAGAGAAGGTTTTTTTTTTTTACTTTCATTCTTCCACCTTCCCCTCTGAAATGTGAAAGTACACTTCACAAAATGCAAAAATTATTTTCCCCATCAAGATTTTCTTATTGAATCTGCATTCTTTTCAACCCTAACAAACTACAATCCTGAGGCCTATCTCCACTTTTAGAGATTAAAACCTGCTAGTTTGTTTGCACAGATAACCAACATAAAATTCAGGATGCTTCAAATGCATGAGTATTGTAATAGTATTGGCTGAGATCCCAAAAGGCCTAATTATGCATTTTTAGTGGGGAAAGACTAACAGTTCCACAGGAAGAACAGTTAAGGTTATATAGGATTATGACTGAACAATGGGGGAAAATTAATAGATGTCTTATGTTCTGTTGTTACCTTGGAGTGGAGCTAGTTTTAATTTATTAAAGAAGAATGAAACTTAAAATTCACCAATGTGAAATGTTATTTGTATATGGCCTGTCTAACCCTTCAAAGTATTTATTCTACAAGAAAAATATAAAATAGAAAAAAAAAACACAGCAACAGCTAGTTCTTCTAGCTACATCAAGGTTAATTTTATATATCTGAATTTTAAAAAAAATGCCACGATCAACAACGGAACAGATTTGTGCATAATCACTGTCAAATATTCATCACCAAGTACTGACAAAGTCTGGTCTCCCATGTCATCTGAAACAGTAATTAAATGTAGTGCTGTTGGTAAGGAGACAAGTAATGTAGAGAAAGGTATAACTGTTTCTTCAAGAGCAAACTTCATACTAAGAGCAGGATCACTGCTACAGAAATGTCCAAAATTCAAAGGCTCAGAGAGTGCAACACTTTTCTTTTAGCTCCTGGGAGATGTCAATATGACACTTTGCAGTAGAACAGGAGTAACATTTCCACAAGAATGTATGTGTGTTCTCCCTTTCTCTGTCTCTAACACACCAATTCATAAGCTGAATATGCACCAACAGTACAATATAATATGGTAGCAAAAAAGGTAAATGCTATTTTAGACTGAATTGACAGAAGTATAGACTCCAAATCACATGAAGTACTAGTTCTCCTCTATTCAGCACTGGTTAGGCCCCATCTAGAGTACTGTATCCAATTCTGGATACCACATTTTAAGAAAGATGCCAGCAAAGTCAAACAAGTTCAGAGGAGGAGGATCAGGAGACTGGAAATGAAAACCTATGAGGAAAGATTGAAAGAACCGGGCATGTTTAGTCTTGAGACAAGAAGACTGATAAGAGAGATGATAGCACTTGAAAGACTATCATAAAGCGGAGGAGCAGGATCTGTTCGTAATCATCCTAGAGTGCAGGTCACATAATAATGGGCTCAAGTTACAATAAATCAGGTTTTGGTTTAATATCAAGAAAAACATCCTAACTAGACATGGGGACAAATATAAAAATGAATTAGGATATTCGTTATATATCCCCAATTTGCTAAATACCCCCAGACACCCCAATGAATATGAAGCAATGAATATAACCCTTTCAGATTTGTCCCTTCCTTCCCTATTTGCTTATGTTCCCACAGACAAGCTGTTCCTTGGGCTGCATAAGCAGAGAGGGGTTTTCCCTTTGGGTGGCTTGCTAAAGCCTGCCTGAAGGGAATCCTATCGATGAGGCTTGGGGGAAGGCACGGTTCCCTTTTCCTCCTCTTCCTATGTCCATGTGGTATAAGAAGAGGAGGGAAGGTATCAAAGAGAGATCAAAGGGATTGCTGCTGTGCGATCGCTTTGATCCCTGCTTTGCGCCTTTTTGCTAAGCCCAGTGGGGTTTAGCAAGAGGAGGGGAAAAGAGATCAAAGCAATCCTGCAGCCTCGGCTGCAAGATCGCTTTGATCCCTGCTTTCCTCTTGCTAAGCTTAGCAAGAAGGGGGAAAGGAGGGATCAAAGTGATCCTGCAGAGTTTTTATCCATTTCCCCCTCCTCTTGCTAAGCCCCATGGAGCTTAGCAAGAAGAGAGGAAGCAGAGATCAAAGTGATTGCGCAGGGATTGGCTGGGCAATCACTTTAATCAGTGTTTTCCCTTCTCTTCGGGGCATAGTAAGAGGAGGGAAAGCAAAGGAAAAGAGACCTGACAAATGATGAATTGATTTGTTGTTTGTTGGGTCACTGGGGGCAATTTGATGACCAACAAAGCAAGACAAAGCCCCATTTTGGCACTTTGTCCCCATGTCTAATCCTAACTGTTAGAGCAGTACGAAAAAGGAACCAATTACCTCAGCAAGTGGTGAGTGTTCTCTAGAGGCATTCAAGACATAATAAGACATTCAACTATCAGAAATATTTTGATTTGGATTCCTGCATTGAGCAGGGGGTTGGATTTGATGGCCTTATACACCCCTTCCAACTCCATTATGGCTGCACAAGCATGCAGTCAGATATTATGTACTTACAAGTAGAGAAGCATTCCATAAGGCAAATCAAAATATAGGTATGTCCCAAACAAAAAATTAAAACTATGAAACTGGACTGCAGGTCAACACCAAATTTGGCATGGATGTAGCAGAAAGTCTGCTCTTGCTCTGTGCCAGATTTGAGGGTGTTTGGCAAAGGGGTTTTGAGTTGTGATTTTTTAAAAAAGTAACAGTTTTAGTCTGTACAGATGTAAGTAATTTTCATTTACAGTCCTTTGAAAAGGATGAAATATGATAAGACAAAATTTGCATACCTGAAAAAAATACTCTTTTTGACACTTTTTCCATTTAGAATGATAGAGGAATGGCTCTAAATTGAATTTCTTAATTAGTCCTGATAAAAGGTGAAAGCCTCGGAAACCGCTGCTTTTTAGGGCAAGATTCTAAAAGATAGCTATTTGCATAGCACAGCAAATGTCTGGAGGGCAGGTGAAAGTTTACCAACTTCAAAACTGTTATGACCTTAAGTGTGAAAGAAAGCATTTAACTACTTCCTGGCTATACATTTTTAGCTCCTTCCTGTGGAAATATTTAATTTTTTTTTAAAAAAAAGATAACAATATTAAGGATCTCACTTATTTAAGCTGTGAAACTACTGGTTTTTTGCTTTGTAACTGGAGAATGATCTCAAAGCATGCTTTACTTGGTTTGCTTGTGAGTAAATTTACTCAATTTACTCATATGTTTACAGAGTCACATGGTTTCATATAATTTCTAGATGTTATCCTCCCTAAACCAATGTCAGATTGTGCGTCCTGTTTGCACCCACAGACTACACCACAGAAATTATGTGTTCTTCAATGCATGGCTTTGCAGTGGCACAAAAACATGAATTCAAAGCACAAATCCTCATGGATCCACTTGATTTTTCTGCAAGATCACCCCAAAATCAATATCCAATCATAGGTCTCAACTCTGCTCACACACTAAAACACAGAAATCATGGGTCCCTGAGCGCATGGCTTTGCAGTGGCAGAAAAACACCAATCCAAGGTACGGATCCTCATGGATCCACATATTTTTACACAGGATCATCCTCAAACCACTGTCAAAGAGATATCATCTCTGCCTAAAGACTACAAAACAGGAATCATGGGTCCTTCCATGCAAGGCTTTCCAATGGTGCAAAAACATGGATCTGAT